CTTTTATTAAGCGGTATGTGGATGAATTATTATTAGCCCTACCACCTGACAAGGTTCAGGGTACCTTATCCTTCTTCAATGAATTTGATCCTCACTTACAGTTCACTGTTAAAACTTGAGGACACTGTCACAAATAGTATCCCTTTTTAGACATGCGTGTCATCAGAATGGGAGATAACACCCTGACCACAAGTTGGTATAGAAAAACCAATGGCCTCCAATAGGTTCCTTAATTAACATTCCTGTCACCTCTATGAAATATAAATTGAACCTTATTAAAGCACTTAGTTGCAGATTACATAAATTGACACATCCGATTAATCGAAGGGAATCCCTTAAGTTATTGAGATATATTCTAATTGAAAATTCATATCCATCCTCCATCATAAATAAATACCTATATTCTCAAAGTTATGGATCCTTTTTTGATGATATACCCAATGGTGACCAACTTAGAACCATTTCTAATAATTCAGTCAATAGCATTGTTCCGCCTAATACTGATCTTGAGAATCCTACCACCCATTATTCATCTCTGCCTTATTTTCCTCAAGTTACGGAGAAGCTTATTAAACTGTATAAACATAACAACATACCAGTTAAAATTGCAGTTAAGAATGCTAAGACTGTTAGAATTTGTTTTCTAAAACTAAAACACTCTTGTCCACTTTGGAATAAGTTAATACTATATACTATTTACCCTGTGCTGAGTGTAACGCTTGTTATATTGGTTAAACTGGAAGATCACTAAAAGGACGTCTTACTTCTTATCGAAGTGACATTAATCTTTTCTAAGCACACATGTGCGTTAGCGCAACACGCAATTAACACCAAACATAAAGTGAATTTCAATGAAGTTAAAATTCTTGGCACTGAGCGCAATCTTGGTAAAAGACAGTTCTTAGAAATGTGTTCCATTCTCAAACATCCTAATGCTTTAAATAAGAGAACAGACATAAGTAACTTGAGCCTAAATATATCATGCTTTAATTTTGCAGAATTAGGCTTTACAATCAGTTCGTTATGTATGTGTCTCTAAAGTCGTACAATTCAACACATTTGTCTTTAATAAATAATTCTAATACTTTAACTTACTATAATTAATACTTGATGAAATATATTATTACATTAATGCTAATTAACTTAGACTTACTTATGCAACTCACATTGCATACTTGGTCGTTTTTTCATATATTGATTAATTTGACCTTCTGGTTTTTTACTTTAATATAAATAAATACAATTCAATCTTTGAATACTTTATAAATTAAAGTTCCAAGCGTGGGACCTTGGACTTTTTGGAAATTAGTTGCTTATCGTCGTTCACCTGTAGATGTATATCCAACTACACTCTTGACG